GCGCTTGCTGAAGCGAAGTTGCAAGACCTGATGAGCACTCTAGAGACCTTCTCTGATGATTTGGACGTCGAGGATACTGATATGGAGCTTGGCGGGTCATCGACTGCACCCTCTTCCAAGCCACTCGAAGTAGAAGAAGAAGAAGAAACAGAGGTTGATGAAGAGGAAGAAGAAGGAGAAGAAGAGAATGATCAGGCAGAGGAGGAGGAGGGAGACGAAGAGAGCGAGTCAGAGGAGAATGAATGTGATGAAGAGGGAGATGAAGTGGGAAGCGAAGAAGACGCGGAGGAGGATGAGGAGGAGGACGAAGACCGGAATGAAGCAGAGGAGGAGGAAGACGAAGGGGAAAGCAGTGACAGTGCAGACTACGGCTTGGATGGCAGTGAGTCTGACTCTGAAGATGAAAAGGACCCAACCGCTCTTTCAGAATGTCGAGCTTTGGTCCCTGTCGTGAAGGAAACCTCGGATCGGACCTCTGATCTAGAAAAGGCTACGCGCAACAGTTCCTTGCTTTCCTTATGAGCAATCTTGCTTTCTTAGCTTTGGGTCCCATGGGTTGCTTATGTTCCAAGAAGCTTTGGGTTCCTTATGACTCCAAAAGGCATATTTGGGGGGGTGTCCTTTTTCGGTCAATTTAGTAGGCGTTTGAGGCTAAAAAAGGTCGCCCACTAGGCCACCCCCCAAAAATGCCCTTTCGCGTTTGTTGGCGCTTTTCCTTTTGCTCGCTTCTTCGGTACTAAGGCACAACCAACAAGCGGGAGTGGGACACATTCAACCGTAGGTTGACAAGCTCCAAGAACGCTGCTGTGGCGGGCTTGAGTGAGCACGTAGCAAAGAACAAGGTGGACCTCTTCAACATCTGGCTCGACAACGGCCACGATGTCCAGGGTGCATGCTTGGAGCTGACCCGTCGGGCTGAAGCCACTCAGCGGGCCACAGCTGGCTGGGAAGCTGTGCAAGGAAGAGAGTTGAGGAAACGCTATGGGGACAATGAGGAAAAGTTCAATAAGGTGGTCAAGGCGCGAGAAGCGGCTGGTTTGTTCTATGAAGACCAAGACTTTCCAGGCGATGTCGATGACTCTGTGCGATAGTGCAAAACATATTTTTGATGTTCAGTCTCCATTAGTGTTGTCTTTGCATAAGAGCCTTTAATTCGCGTCTCTTTGTGCATCGCGAGTATGGTGTGAAGCTTATAAGGGGGGTGCTCTCAATATGAGTTCATCGGGCTTGTATTTGTTGAAAAGCAATCTCAGGAAACTTGGTACTTTATGCGCGTTGGAAGCAGTTTCAAGACCGAGAACACGACTTCCGAGAGCGTGAACATCACGGCAGCGTCGCGTCTTGACAAAGCTGGTCTTCAAGCTTTGACTGATGAAAGCGATGGTGTCCTTCGAGCGGGAGCCCTGCCTGAGATCTCTGGCTTGTCGCAGCAGCAGAACAAGGGTCTCCTCACGGCGATGGCTCAGGCGCATGGCCGTTCCTTGATGCCTTTGTTTGGTTCCAGCTATGACGGTGAAAAACAAAGCCTCTCCAAATACAGTGTCTTTCCAATGCACGAGACATATGACTCCACCTTATGTTTACAAATGTTTACAAAACCAAACAAAATTCTGTCTTTGCGTACTCTGCAGGCTGCGCCCGTGAAGTCGAAAAAGAAAGAGAAGGAAAAGAACAAGAGCGAGGAGGTTGTTTCAAAGACTCTTGAGGAAACAGCCAAAGATGAAATGGCAGAGATACTCAAAGTTGCTGCTTCGTCCCGCACCAAAAGCATGGAGCTATCGAATATCCAGTACGCCGCTGAGTTGAGCAAGCAATTGCTCGACTATGCAGTGTCTCTTGAGGAGATCTACAAAGACTTGCGGAAAGCGGTGGAGGACAAATCTGAGGCCAACATGCAAAAGACGCTGGACCTTGTGCAAAAAAAGAAGGCTTTCGGTGAAAAAGCCAAGGCCCGACTTCGTTCAAAAAAACGGTTCAAGAAACATAGCGGCCTTTAGGCTTTCAATGTTTTCTTCAATGGGATTGTTGAGAAATGGATAGAGAGAGCAGGTATATCATCTCTTTCAACCTACTTTCAAAAAAACATCAATCTACTTGTCGTCGACCACCTCTTCCCCCAGCTTTCCCTTCTTCTCCTCGAGGCCGCTGCAGGAGCCTTCCTGAGATCGGGCCCGAAGAAGAAGAAGTCCGATAAGAAGGGGGAGGATGAGTCGACGCCGACTGGATCCACAAAGAAGAAGAGAAAGGTAGCTGCTGCCAAGCCAGAGTGAGTAAATGATGTCTCACTGTCCAGGGGTATTTTTAGGGGCTTTCACTTGTCAAGGACAAGGCCGCAAGTGATGACCACTTGCCAAGGGTTCCAATCTAGATCAATCTAAGCACTGCCCATAGAAGCGTGGCCATCATTTTTTGAACCTATGATCAATAAGCTCCAAACCGTCTGTTATATTTATATATATATACACATACACGCTACATATTTTCTTGATAGGCCAACGCCCTGGGCTTCAACCTACGCAGACTCTAGACAGGAAAAGCCAGCTAGCGTTTGCGCCTTTCTCATACCTCGCAATCCAACAACCTTCACCTATTCATGTACGCGGGAATGCCAGGCAACCAGGCCTCTTCATCCAAAAGAAGGCAAGCGGTCAAGCGATTCCATGGCAATGCCTCAGGTTCAATTGGAGAGAGTCTTCAAGCCGTTTCTTTAAGAAAGAGGTAGCTTCAAGTGTCATCAAAAGTTGATGGCTTAAAAACAGACCTTTCTCGTGAAACCCTTCAGGCGATTGCGCTTGGAGGACTATGAGCCATCCCGAACCGTTGGAACCCTGTCAAATATGATAGGGCGAGGTCAGCTCAGTGTATCAGCAGCTGTCGAGATTGCCCAGGGCATTTCTGAGGATGTTGACTTACCGGATGGTGCAATCAAAGCTTTTGCCTCTTTGGGGTCAAACGGTGACCACCCTCAGAACTGCGAAAGGGATCTTCACCGATGGTTGAGGAATCTCTACGGGTTCAAACTTGAACCATACAAGATTTCCGTGGAGTTGAATGCTTCTTGCCTAACTCTGGGCCCTCTTTCTCTTTCATGTTTACCGGTTTGTTTTCTATAAAGTTTGGACTCACCACAGCCCTCAACGCAAAACGACCCGTGTTTATTTCCCAAATGCAAAGCCATCTCTATTCCATTCATGGATCCAAGGTTGGAGGAAAAAAGAAGCGGACTGTTTCACTTCCTGTTCTTCTTCCACACGAAGTTCTTCGCATGATATCTGCTTCACCGTTCGTGTTTGATTCAGTATGGTTGGGGTGCCTCGATGATGTTTCCAGGTACCAGTTCTGGGGGCATATCAAGACCCTGAGCCCGTGGAAGAACCACCCCATTCTTCAAAGTGACGTGGACCTCGCTCGGCTGATTGGCGTGAACATCCATGGCGATGGCGCAGTCATGAAGAGAGATGATGAATGTTTTGTGTGGAGCGTGAGTAGCTGCTTTGCATCCAGTGGGCCCATACAAGACCCTCTAATGATGAAGTTTGCCGTCGCCATCGTCCATGAGAGGTTCATGCTATCGAAGCAGGCTGGCTTCAGTAGTGCAATCCCCGATCTATGTTTGCACGTGCCAAGAGTTTTATAACAATAAAGGGCGTTTCATACCTAGGTGAGTTGTAGTGCAAGATGTTCCATTGGATTGTTTTTTGAATGGCAGGTGCAAAAAAATGTCAACGCTGAAATCGCTAAGCTGATCGCTTGGAGTTTGCACTATGCATCTTTGGGGACAGCACCCACACAAGGCTACTACGGTGAACCTTTTCCACCAAACAGCTATAGAAGCGAAATGGCTGGCAAAGAGCTCGCTAACGGGTGGAAGAAGCTTACCTTCCATGGTTGTGTCCTGCAAATTATGCAGGGTGTATGGTTTTCCGTTCATCGAACACCCTCCAAACAGGGGTCTTTGTTGTGCTTTTTTGCCTTTGTAATCTAAGGGCGTGCTATTTTGCCTGCAAAGCAGATCTGAAAGCAAGAAAGTACACGCACAACTTTCGACGGTACTATCTGTGTGCACAGCTGCTCTTAACAAGTAACAATTGTTTTCCCTGGTCTGTTGGGGCTCATCGGGTTTCATGTTTTTTCTGCTAATAGGGACTGCTACAAAGCTGAGGCTTTGTGACACATGCCTGGCCAGCACCCGCAAAGGAACCCCTGATGCTATGCACGCTGGCAATTACAACGCCGATGCAGCATGGAGGTTGACCGTCTTAGACCACGACACCTACGTAGCTATGGAGAACCCAGATACAGTCTCACCGTTCTCATTGATAGAAGGCTTCAACGTAGAGACTGTGGCCTACGACTTTCTTCACCAGATTTACCTAGGGACAGCTCGAGACCTCATCGCCTCCGGAGTTCGAACTCTCATTTTGAGAGGAGCCTACGATCACCTTCAGAGTGATGACCTTGACACAATCTTAGATGTGGTTCAGAAAGAAATGCACAATGACTGTGCTTCGAATGGGTTTCATGCAATTACTTCAACAATTGTTTGTTCTTCTTGTACCCAAGGTTTCTTCCAAGGTTTCCTCCAAGTTAGACACGTTTTGGACCGGCTAGTCTTTTACCTTTCATCTCAGAACTAGACACTTACGTGAAGATGTGTCTCTAGTTGTTCACTGTTCCAAAAAAAACTGTTGGGAACCTTTTGGTGTTTCAAGTCAACCTGATGGGGGATCTTCATTGGTTCAAACGTCGAAGCACTCAAACACTCTTCGGTTTTCTACGGGCTTCAATACGAAAGAAGTTCTTGTCGTTCTTGGAAACGCGGAGTTGTATTTAAGGTCGTACTTACCTTGCAAACCTGTTCTTTGCACGGCCAGCATCGGAGGGCTCTCTGACTACGCAGAAATGTCTTCCCGGTACAAGGCCTCGACCATCAAACTTATGGTGTGGTGGTTAGCGATGAAAACTTCAGCTATTGCAGAGCACAGTGAGGACCCTTACATGCTACGCGTGTTGATGTCGCGTTTTGTTTAATAACCTTTGTTGATGAGTGCTTCGTAGCGCGCGCAATGCTTGTAAGGACACAGTGCTCCAAGTCTTGGCGACATGCGCTTGGTCTTTGCAACGCGTTGTTGAAATTCAAGATTCGGGAGGTATGGTGTTGACCCAGACTGACGCCAATGATGCTGGTGATTTGCTGCATCTCCACATCAAAGCCTTTGTTTGGCTTGCCCTTTATTTCAAGCCTCGCAAGCTTTGGCTTTTCAAAATTAGACCGAAAACCCACTACAACTTTCACATGGCTGAAAGATTGAAGTTGTGGCGGGTGAATCACAACATCTTGGATACGTTCCAAGATGAGTCATATTTAGGGAAGTTGAAAAGCATAGCCCTCAAAGCTCATGGGGGAACAATGGTTCTGAGGGTGATGCAGCGTTACCTACTGACGCTCGCTTTGTACATGCACCACTACCAAAGCGACTGAAAAAAAACATGCGCGCAGTGACAGTGAGAGCTCATGAGTCTGTGCTGCAGAACGCATGTCTTTACCTACAACGTTTTCGTTTTGACAAAACGGTGTCGTTGCCGTCCAGCGGTCTCGTTTTCATGTACCAGTTTCGTTTTCAAGTAACGATTCTGTTTTGGAAACCCGACTTCGTTTTCACATGCAAAGCCTTCGTTTTGGATAAACGGTTGCGTTTGCATCGTAGTCACTGTTTTTCTTTGCAAAGCACAATGTTCACACGAACCTTTCCCGGACAGCGGTCGCAGCAACGACAAAAACTCTACTATCGTTACTCAAAAACACATCTTAAAGGTATAGTTATTTACCATGATTCGGGTAGATCATAGAACGCCTCCGTTTGAAACAAAGGGTGTCGTTTTCATGTAACAGTGTCGTGTTCAAACACCGGCTTCGTTTTCGGATACCGGCTTCGTTTTCGGATACCGGCTTCGTTTTCGTCTGGCGCCTTT